CTATAATGCAATGGGTCAGAGGCACCCCAGCTTTTCATGAGTTCACCTGGGGGTACTGCAAATGCATGGCAACAAAACAACCCTAGATTCCAGGAACAAGGAGCTATAAGTTTTCAAAATCAGCAGAGGCAACAGTATCAATCTCCGCAGTCGAATCAATCCAGCATGGAAGATTTTATGAAGACCTTAATTATCAACACAGATGAGAGGCTTGATGCCTATGATGCAGCTATTAAAGAATTGAGTACATCTTTTTGAAGACTGGAAAAACAGGTCGGGCACTTAGCTACTCTAATGTCGGAGAGAGCCCCAGAAACACTTCCCGCCGATACTGAGAAAAAATCCAAAGAAACAGTGAATGTTGTAACTCTGAGAAGTGGGCAAGTGTTGAAAGATCCAACCTCGATCCAAAATGATGTGAACTTTAAAAAAGAAAGTGGGAAGCAATTGAAGGGTGATGTAGATAAAAAGAATAAAGGCCCGATGAAAACTGAGAAACAGAAGGAAGAAAAATCAAGAAGGGAAGACCATGATGAGAGCAAGCATATGCCTGCACTGCCTTTTCCCCAAAAGCTGAGTCGAGAAAAACTGGACAAGCAGTTCGAGGAATTTCTAGATGTGCTGAAACAGGCTCATGTAAACCTACCATTCACAGAGGTGCTCTCACAAATGTTGGCTTATGCCATGTTCTTGAAGGAGATTCTGACAAAGAAAAGGAAAATAGAGGAAACCTCAGTGGTCAAGCTCAAAGAGCATTGCAGTGCAATATTGCAAAACAAACTCCCACAAAAGTGTGGAGATCCAGGGAGTTTTACCATACCTTGATCTTTAGGCACTACTAATTTTGATAAGTCTCTATGTTATTTTGGTGCCTCAATTAATTTAATGCCTCTATCTATTTACAGGAAACTGGAGAAGGAGATTGGAAAGATAAGGTCTGCACCAATATCTTTACAGCTGGCAGACCAAATGACTATAATACCCGAGGGAATAGTTGAAAATGTCTTAGTGCGGGTAGATAAGTTTGTATTTTCTGTGAATTTCATAGTGGTTAATATGGAAGAGAAAAAGGAGGTCCCCCTCATCCTAGGAAGACTATTACTAGCAACGTGTAGAGCAATATTAGATATACATGAGAGAAAACTCATGCTTAGAGTGGGCGATGAGACTGTGACTTTTGAGATGGATGTATAAACGAGGGAAAAAAGGGAAAAGGTAGCTACTAGTATTGTGTGGAAAGTGAAGGGCGAGAAATAGAAGACTGCGGGTGAGCGAAAAAGATAAGTGTGGGGTGTACCCAAAGAAGGCCGAGAAGAAGCTGTCTGCATGGATGAATGCACTAGTTCGGGCGCGAGGGATGGAACCCAACTTCGACTCAAACCCCGACTAGGTATTCAGGGAAGTTGTCCTTACCTCTTTCTTTTTATTTGTGTGTCATAGGGACATGACACAATTTAAAGTGTGGGGTGGAGATGTATATATGTATAGAATGTATAAATGTTTATGTGTGTTTTTGTAATTCATTTTATTGAAATTTTAAATTTTTTGATTTTTCCCGACGATGGATGTCATTTGACAGGTTTCTTGAGGGATTAAGTCAAAGAAAAAAAAAATTCTTTTCTTTAGGTAGTATAATAATTCCACCTTGGTTTTTCTTTGTGCCGCGGTTCTTTTTCAAGGGTTTTATTTGAATCGGGTATAGTTAGTTTTTTTTAGGAGTAGGAAACCTTGTTCTGTGATTTGAAATGAAAGCAATATCTCTTGACTATATTATGCCTTGAGAATAGTAAGTGCTTTAGTTGTGACGCTTAGGCTCAGTTTTTGACTCTTGTATAAGTACCTTAAATTGTATGATCTTAACTTTGCTTAACTGCTTTGACTAGAGTATCTTGATGAGTCTGATCCTGAGTGAGTTATATGCCATGTGTATGTGAGGTTTCGTATATTCTGTGCATTCCATTTGATGTCTAGAACTTATCCCGTATATTTGCAAAGCGAAGTAATAGTTTTATTCAGTCTTGGAAGTGATATAAGCATTTCATTGTTGAGCCAGTTATATGTTGTACCCACCTAATTATTATGTATCTTAGTTGACCCCTTTGAGCCTGCAATCCTATATCTTTGGCAACCACATTACAAGCCTTGTCCATTTTACCTCTCGCGAGTACTTGAAATTGTTATGAACTTTGTAAAAGTTAAAAGTGTGGGGTGTTGGCTGGCTTTTGAGTGGAACTAATGAAATAATGAGAAAAGTGCACTGTTTTGAAAAACAATAAGAGACACGTGAATTGAAAAAAACAAAATAGTTGCATTGTTGTGCAAATATTCATTGAGTGGTAACTTTTGATATATGTGTGCTTAAGGAAGTGGGGAGTTGACATATATTGATGTAAGGGTGGAGTTATGGCTTAACAAAAATGTAGGATTTTGAACGGCCAATTGCATGTATTAAAGTTCTTAGGGAGGTGTAGTCAATATATCCAATGTATCATATCCGTCCCGCAGCCTATATTACAACCAAATAAAATCCTACTTGATCCTTGACTAAATAAGCTCAATTAGTAGAGTAGAACACTACGGAAAAGCCTATAGTACATTCTTTGTGGCACATAAATATTACTTCTGAGAGTGAGTGAAGTTTTTCTATCTTGAGTTCCTAATTATTCTTAAACATTATTATTTTTGGAACTACTCTCTGTTGTTGTGTGAGGGCACTTGATTCACGAAAGAAAGGTAATGTCATTGACCTTTGTGTTAGAGTAAGTGAGCTAGTTTTGAATAAACGTGTGGTGCTTTTGAGTCAATTCGTGAGGCGAGGATGTTACGGTATTGTGCTTAATCTATTTCGATTATTCTTGGTGTGATGAAGTTAGGAGAGTTGCTTTAAAATGTCGTGTCTATGTGAAGTGTAGTTTAATTGTTCGAGGACTAGTATTGATTTAAGTGTGGGGTGTTGATAGTAGGCTATAATCCCATGTTTTAGTCACTTATTGAATTCTATTTCACTGCGCTTTATTTATGTTGAGCTTTAAATAGTAGTGTTTTTCACTTATTGTGTGTTTTATGCCATGTAGGAGTGATTCCGAGTTATTTAAATATTGCAGAGTAAATTTGAGCTATTTGGAGCTTTGAAGTCTGAGTAGAAGCCCAAGGTCGAGGATCAAGCCCGGATGTCAAAAATTAGAGAAACGAACTACTCTAAGAAAAATGCACAGCCACGCCGCATGGGGCGGCGCGTCAGTGCAAAATATGCCAGAACTCATTTTGCAAATCGTTCTGGAATTGTCCACAAGCGCGTCGTATGCCGCGGCACGGCATATGACATGGTAGTATAAATTTCTTAGACTATCGTCCTATTTTCGCTTAAAAGGGTATTTTCATCCGGAGATTATTGGGGGTGGCTTAAATATACCAAAACACCATTTTAGAGGGACTTTTGGACAGATTTCGACCTAAGGAGGCCAAGGAGACTAAGGAGAAGTTGGAAGAATACAAGCACAAGGATTTCATCATTCCTTCCTCACTCAAGATCCGGGTTTGGATTGAATTTATGCTTTCCTATATTTTTGTTATATTTGTGAAGAACTTCTCCATATCTGTAGAGTAGATCTTTTGGGTTTTGATGGATTTGGTGTATTGATGATTGTTTGTAGATTATAACTCTATTTTTATATAATTTAATTATTTTTGAAAGATTTAATTGTTGCATCTATATTCACTTGTTCTTGTAATCGAAAGAGGCATAACTTGTGATATCTTTGCGCTATATTATTGGTTGAGTTCATAGATTCTTCTAAGTAATCAAAAGAGGCTAGTTGAATCATTGATTAAACCTAGTTAGGAGAATAATCGAAAGCGCTTTTCCTAAAAACCGATCCACTACGTATTTTTGCACATCTTCACAGAGCTTAAATTGGTTTATATTGTGAGGTTGAAACTTAATCGAGAGAGGAGTTTCTGTTAAACATTTGTACTGATAATTAAGTGAATTCGAGAGACTCACTTGAGCATTAGAAGTTAATTATCTAGAGTTAAATTCCAAATAATTATCTTGCACTTATTCCGTCAAAACCCTATTTTCTCCCATTGATAACTTCCTTGCTTACTTTTGTTGCGATTATCATTAGTCAATAGTTGTAGATTTTAGATTATTAATTATATAAATCTCAACTGTTGATCCTCTTGAATAGCAATAAAGCTACAAAAATACGATAATATTGTTTAAATCCAATCCCCGTTGAGACAATATCGTACTATACTATCTTTAAATAGCGAGCACAATTTAAGTGTATGTTTTGCGCTCGTCAGTGGCACGCAGTGAATCTCAGAAATTGACCCGTGGATCGTGGTAATGGGCCACATGAAACTTAGTTCGAGGGGGAGACCCATGAATCGTGGTAGTGAGCTACGTGGAACTTAGTTCGAGGAGGAGATTATTGGGTGTGCGAACAAAGTACCACATTGATAGCTGAAAAGATTGAGAGCTTATATATATATGGTATAGGGATCTCTTAATGGTGTGAGGCCTTTTAGAGAAAATTGTGTGGGCTTGGCCTAAAGCGAATAATATCACATCATGTTAAGAGTATTTGCGAACCGTTTTAGCCCAACACTTTATAATAAACATTATCAGTAATCTTATAACAAAATACAATATGGTATGATATGTTAAATTATATTGATCATATTATTATTTTTACTATCAGTACATCCACTAATTAAATCCGTAATATTTATTTCAAAGTGAATAGCTTTGGTTAGAAAGGTAGTTGTTAAGGGACAAATAAACGTTAAAAGCTTACACTAAAATTTCCTTTTCTTTCCCAAAAGAAAGCTACGGCTAAAGACAAAAGAAGAAGAGTAAAAAGGTAGCAAAGCCCCAAAACTTAATTTACTTACCTTTTTTCCTCATCTTNACCCCAAACTTTAGCCCCTCAGAGTGTCATTTTCTCACATATACTTCACACAAAAGAAACCACCATTCACTTCATATACCTTGTCATTTCTCCTCCACTCTCACTCTCTCTCTCTCTCTCTCATTCAATCTCAAATCCTCCTTATAATTCTTACCTTATTTTGATCATCAAACCCCATCTTAAGAAAACCTCAAATTTTCTCCTCTTCTTCTCTCTTCCTCTCTCCATCTCCTTTTAACCTGAAATTTTAGCTTTTCCATATTTTATCATCAATCTTTCTCAAACAAGGACCTTCTTGATATAGTCTTTTTCTTTAACCTACTTACAAACACAAGAACAAACTAAAAGACCTAGGGCCAACAAAGAGAAGAAATTAGCTAGAGGATAATACAAGGTGAAAAAGGGAGACACAAACTACTTGTGGCTATTTTTATAATTTTCCTTTGATCGAGAATATATGGAGCTATTCCCAGCACAGCCAGACTTATCTTTACAAATCAGCCCTCCAAACAGCAAACCATCATCAACTAATTGGAAGAGGAGTACAAATAATAGTACTACTGAAGGTGAAATTGATTTAATGTTCTGGAGAAGAGCTTTGGAATCTAGAAACTCCAATATCTCTTCACTCTCAAAACCTGATAATAATAATAATACCTCTCTATTTGAGCTTTCTTTATCCAATCCTAAACCTTCTCCTGAGTTTAACTCTGGCCCTTTTCATCACATCCAAAACACTCCCCACAATTTCATTCACTCTTTACAGCAAAATCATTTAATAAACCATCAGCAGAACCACCTACTTCAGCAGCAAAATCAAGGGCTTAACTCAGAACTTAGTTTCTTGAGACCTATAAGAGGAATTCCTGTATACCATCAAAACCCTCCTCCTACTCCTACTTCTCATTACCCAATATTTGGTGAGCAAACTTTTGACAATACTAGGACTGCAGCTACATTTCCTATACGTTCTTCTGGTTGTTGTATTAATAACACCAACAACAAAACAATGTCTACCTCATCCAATATTCCTTTTCGGTCCCAACATCATCATCATCATCATCAAGCTGGGGTAATGCGATCAAGATTTTTGTCAAGATTTCCAGCTAAACGTACTATGAGAGCTCCACGGATGCGGTGGACTAGCAGTCTTCATGCTAGATTTGTTCATGCTGTTGAGCTTTTGGGTGGCCATGAAAGTAAGGCTTCTCTTCTTCTTCTTCTTCTTCTTTTATACTTTGATTATTTGATTGCAGTGTCAGATTTAGTGTTGGTTAATGGGTTTAACTGAATATGAGATTTGCCTATGATAACATGAACTCAATTAATACTATTTTACCTTTTTTTGGGAATTTAGGAGCAACACCCAAGTCGGTTCTTGAGCTTATGGATGTGAAAGATCTCACTTTGGCACATGTTAAATCTCATTTACAGGTAAATTTCGTAGACCACTTAATTTTAGCTTATATCTCTAAGGTTGTTTGGTTTTTGAATTTCAATGTGCGTTTATAATAAAGAAGCTGTGGGGTGAAAATCTTTTGGAGTATTCGCAAAAGGCTATACTTTCATTAGACTTCCTACAAAGAAGCCTATATTAGAAGAAAATGTCTAAATCTACAGACATTTCAAATTCCAATGCCTTCTTTTTTTAATACTACAAATTTTTATTTCACTAAGTTCTTAGAACTTTTTTCAAACTAGTAGATCTGATGGTCCTGCAAGGCTATAATGCACAGCTTTTTTGCGTTGGGGAATGAACCATTAATCCATGTAGGTTGTAGCAGTACGAGTTGTAGCAGAAGAAAAGAAAGCAAAAGCCTCGGGTTCAATAACAGAGGGGAGAGAAAGAGAAAGTTTTATTCATAATGATTCAGCAATAATAATATCACGAGCTAAGGAAAAACAAGACAGACAAACTAAAACCCCAAAGATATGACGTGGGGGTGGTGGTGGAAGGGGGGAGGGGGGTTTGCAGCTTAGAGCAGACAAGTTTAGACACTCTCATTGCTAATCCTGCTACTAGTATTTTGAACCACCAATAAATTAGTGTTATTTTTCTATCTGCAATAAGGAAGTACAAACGCTATCATGTCTCAATGATATTCCATCTTTATGGAATTTACACATTGCACTCTTCAATAACCATGTTTATATATGGGGATACATGTGTGTAACTATATTTTTCTATGCACGTGCTTAGAAGTGTGTATAATCCTGAGGTAATGTGGCGGAATAGTTAATTAAAATCCCTTTTATCTGTAATTAGATATTTATGTTATTCTTGATTTTTTTTTATATATTCAATAGAGAGCATTTTATCCAATTTAGTAACTCTAGCGTGAATCTAAATTAGTCCGGCAGTGAGTTTCGACTACAAGAAATATAAAGTGTGTGCAAGTTTGTGGATGTACATGCAAATGTTTATCCATCAAAATGTGGTGCATGCACATGCATATTTACATACATGTATGCTGACTACATGGGGCACAAGCAAAAAGGTTGTCATCATTTAGCTGTAGGTACAACTTTTCTAAGAATTGTATCAATCAAGCTACCGTGTCTACTGTACTAGGAAAGGCCTATTCCATTATCTCACTCTTTGCACTTCGCTTTTTCTATGTACACAGTAGTTTACTCGTATACTCTACTAGTATGTATTTTTGTGCAGCAGAGCTTGAGTATATACATAAATTATACTTATTGGTATCACAATTCGCTGCATATGAACATATCGTTCTATGTTGACTTGCAAAAAGAATAAGAATTCTTCTTTTTTTTTTTAAATCTACTGTATGTCAACTACTGTTGTATAATGGTCATGGTTTACATTTTAATGCTACATTGCATCATTTTTTTATATCTTTGCAGATGTATCGGACGGTTAAGACTACTGATAGAGTAGCAGTTCCAGCTTCTTCAGGTTTATATATTCATTATAATACGATTAATTAATTTTTTTGTTCCAGGGTCTTTTATAGAAAATAACTTAAGTAGTAAGTTTTTTCATTTTATATTTATTGAAGCATATTGAAATTGTAGTCTTACCTTCTTCTTTTTTTTCTCTGAATGTGTTAGGCCAATCGGAGGTATTCGATAATGGGTCTTCTGGAGATACTTCAGAGGATTTAATGCCTGACATTGAAAATTCAAGGAAGTCTGATTTATCAGATCAACAAGCCAGAAACAATATGCATCTTCAAGATAAAGATTACCATGGTCTTTGGAGCAACTCTTCAAGGTGAACATTTTATATGCTGCTCATAAAGATTTTATGCTTTTTTTTTCGTTTATGATAAAATGATTGACGGGCTTATATACACGGATAATGTAAATAATCTTCATATTATATTTATAGTGTAACTTAAAGAAAATTCTTGGATTTTGATACTAATGCTGATAGGGAAAACTTAAAAAGGAAAAGAATGAATAGAAAACTGAGAACCCCACGTATCACGTGAAAACTCTTTGTACTCCTCCAAAGGTAATTCAAATCGGACAAAAGTAGTGTCCACTAGGCCATAAAACTCGTTTATTAGGCTGGACTTGAAGGAATGTAATATGAAACAAGAAAAGGTCAGGGGAACCAAATTAAGAGGAAGAAGCAGTTACAATATGAAGTCTGAAACAAGATAAAAATTACGGACCACGCAATTGAAAACTTTGTCTTCAATTCTTAAAAAAGATTTAGAACTTTAGTAGAATATCATAGCCAAGACTCAGAGATGAGATTCTCCTTCTAAGCCTAAGCCAGAGCATCTCAAAAAGTTGTATTTGTATAAAAGATCAGAAAAAGAGGAGTAAGGAATAACAATATAGCTATGTTCCATCTGTTGTGAACCTCTTTTGGAAGAAAATACGTGCGGTAAAGAAGAAAATGCGAAAAAAAATTCAAAGATTTTTTGAAAATCTTAGAATAGGATTATATACCAAATGACAAAATCATTCTAGGAATGAGCATCTCTCTTTCTTTTAGATTTCGTGGGCTCAGATAACTAAGGCTATTTGAAAAAGGACCTACCTCTATACTTAGTGTCAAAGTTAAATTCTAGCTAGTAAGAAAATGGCCCCCATATGCTGAAAGCTTTGGTGCCAAATTAAAGGCAAATTAAAGGTCTAAGGCTATTTTGAAACTTCTTTGAAGGTTGGTTTTGATTCTAGTAGTTAATGTGCCTTTCACATGTGTGGAGTGTGGTGGCAAACTTTTATGAACTATAGGCAAAAAAGGCATATCGTAAGTGAAGAAAGCAAGAAAAAAGAAAAAGATAAGAAGCTTTAAATAAGACTGTAAAAAGATGGCTTTAATTTCATATTCCTCAGCTTGCTTTTTCTTCTTCTGCATGCATGGCTTCCACCGATGGAAAATATTCTCTTCAATTGCTATGTTTTTTTGTAGCAGAGAAAGTTGGCAGTTGCATGGCAAACTTGGAGACTACCCAGGGAACATGCCATCTCTTGAGGTACTATATGCAATATCTCTGAAAATTTAGTTGCTTATAAAAGAATTTTTACGCTATCATATAGCTGTCTATAATAAGGTGAACTATTTATTTAGAAATAGTAACTGGTTGAATGATACATAGACTTATGTTTTCATCAAGGATTATAACATAAAGTAGTCAAATTTGAATGAGATAGAAAGGATTTCAAGCTTTTTACAAAAGATAAGGCAGCTCATTTTCAAAAGACATAGTAAACTAAAGTCGAGAAATCCTTCCTAAAAGATGTCTCTTTATTAATTTCCCTATAATGACTTAGACTAGCTAATTAAGTAAGAATCGCCATAATCAAGATGCAGTGCTGTAATTATATTAGCAGTTGTTATATTCCCCTGGTCAATTTTTTCTTCCTTTATTCACAGGCATTTAGTACATTGTGTGTATGCTTGTTCTTCTTCTTTACTGATTCATTCTTTTGACCAAAAAAAGAAATTGCAGAAAAACCAACATAAAGACATGGAAGCAAAATGCTTAAGCTATGATAGAATATCAGCAGAAGTGAGCTCATCAAGCATAACAGAGACAAGTCCAAAAAAGAAGCCTAATCTGGAGTTTACTTTGGGAAGACCTTCACAGTAAAAAAGAAATCTCTGCTGGAGCAGCATATATATAAGTTAGTACTACTCATTTTGAAATCATTATAATCTCTGACAAGGTTATCTAGCTGGTTTAAAGAAAAAGTAAAGAGAATCAGGTATCCACAAAAACCAGAGAAAAGCAAAGGAAAAAAGAAAAAGGAAGAGGAAAAGAAAGCAAAGAAAAAGAGAGCTAAAGAAAGACAAGGAGACAAGAAAGACAGGAAGAAGGAAAAGGAGAAGGGTGTGACCTCTGAATCAAACAATATGATATTTTATTCCCTTTCTTGAGATAGAGAAGAATATGAAATCTGATTGATTTTGTGTATTATTAGAGTAGTCATTACTCATTAGAGGGAGAATGAGAGAAGAGGCTTTTTCCCTCTCTTTTTGTAACTAGTTTCTAGGAAGTGATCTTTTACCCTGGTAATATTATGACGCACTTAAAGAAATATATAAATATTTGGGACGACTCCCCCATATATTTTGACAAAAATACTCATGATATTAACTATTTGCACCATAATATATTAATTTACCATGATTAGTACCGTCTCGGTGTGGCGGAGCTTGAATTTCGTGTCAAACTTGTTAATTTTGATCGTGAACTCGGACATAAAATTTTTAAATATTTTGAAACAAAATTTATATATTTGAAAACTACATGATATAATTAATAGTTTAAAATATTTAAAAGACATAAAAAAATGCAGTCAAAGAAAAATTCGTTTGACTCTCGAAATCCGAATATCGCCATATAAATTAGGATAAAGAAAATAGTAAATTGAGGTTATAATTTGTATTAATTATTTATGATTAAGTGATAACAATTTATGAAAGACTTATGTCATTATTGAGTTAGTGTAACCACAAGTGTGGAATAGATTTTTGGCCAAACACATATACAGCCCATTCAACTTGACTCCGTTTTTCATTTTGGCACTCTATCTCAACCTTATTCTATTTTGTCCCTCCAGCTCTATTTGTTATATTTTATTTTAACACAAAAGCTGAAACCAGTGCAAAAAAATATAGCGCGTGTGTATACACAAATTCGAGGTGTAATAAATATCCAATTAAATGTTGCTCATCCTTATCAAATGGGTCAATACTAAAATACCCGACCCGGATTTCTCGGTGTCCATGATACTTTCGGTTCAACTTGAAATCCACAAGAATAAATATCCATTCCATTATGAAAAAATAATTTTCTTTGAGACATAGATTCAGTTCAAACTTCAAGCTTATATGAAATAAACGACGAAAAAATCAGGTGGTAACATTTAATTGGATATTTATTACACCTCAGATTTGTGTATACATACGCACTATATTTTTTTATACTGGTTTCAGCTTTTGTGTTAAAATGAAATATAAGAAATGGAGTTGAAGGACCAAAATAGAACAAAATTAAAATAGAGTGCCAAAATAAAAAATAGAATCAAATTGAATGGACTGTATATGTATTTGGCCTAGATTTTTCCATTTATTCCTAACCAATGTCACATGGTTTACACTATCACAACAAAGGAAAAAGTAGGAAAAGGGAAGGAAAAGATAACAGGAATTTACTGGTAAAGGGGCTGAAAAATGTATGACTTAAGAAATGAAAAATAACAAAAAGAAAAGGACAAGATGAAAAGAAGAAAAGGATGTTACCATATTCCCTTTTTATGCTCATTATATGAATAACTTTTCCTTTTATCACTATCTTGCAACTATAGGTACTTCATTCAAAATTCTTTTCTAGTCCCAATATTCTCCTCGCCTTCCTATCAGCGGCCCCCATCCAAAAGATAAAAAAGAACAAAGGAACTGACAGTACCTATGGTAAAGAATATATGAGTTTGCTTTTGGAGATAACTTAATTGATTCTAAAGGGGGGAAATTATAGAAAACTATAGGTTAAAATTAAAACTCTAACTTCCCATTAACTGATTTAAATTGATTTTCAGAATTGTAGAATTGTAGAGGATTACGTTGAAATGCATGAGTTGTTAGACAAAATACACTTTTAATTACTCAATTATATTTTCAATACGCCTTTTTACGTGCGGGCTTGATTTTCTTACGAGTTAAGCACGTGAATTTTTTTTAATAATGAGTGCTGGTGAAACTCAATTGTAGGCAGTGTCGAAAATACATTTTCTCAAGAGTGTTCAAACTTAAAAAAAGTAAAAAAAGTTCCTGACAAAGGGTACTTGATATATTTTATGTACCTCTAAAACTTGATCTTTTACCTATATACGTAGTGTAATTTTCCGACAAATAGTGATCAATTAACCACCCTTACAAAAGTGCAGCTTCACCCTTATTGTAAGACATATGCTTGTTCTAATATTATATTAAAATATGTGACATTTCATTTTAAACTTATGCGGTTAGAAAGAGCATATTTTTAAATTCTTAATTATATCATCAATAGATCGGATGCTAAAAATTTCAACTTGAAGGGAGTTCCTAACATATATAATTTCTTAGAAGCAACACTCAAGTAGTGAATTAAAACCTTTACCCCATTATTCTTTCACGAGTGATTGACAAACTAGTTCACCAAAATCATACTGGCTAGGTCTCCTAGTACAACATATACTAATTGCAACAGTTCAAACCAAGAGTTGATGGAAAAGCTGCATTTGCATTCATTTCTGGAAGTGATAGGTTCTCGAACTTGTCTTTCTTTAGGTCAACATTGTTTAGGCAAAAACGTTAACTTGTGGAAATATGATATTGGACCGCCTGCTGTCAAGAGTTACCCATTAATTGATAGACAAGCTGTAAATTTTCCTTGATTTATTTAATCTAGTAATAGACAAAAGATAAAGTTGGCAGAAATTGATGTGGGGTTTTACATAGAGAATTGTTTTTGTTACCGATGGGTCCCTGGTCACTATCATTGTGAGTTTGAAAATAGCAGCTAGCCATTTTTTGATTGTAATTAGAAAATAGCTATTATCTATAAAGTTATTGAAAATAACTACTATTTTATGCGGAGATAAAATATGGACAAAAATATCCTAGTTGAAATACGGAAAATTTCAGCATAATATGTTGGATTATGAAGCTCCTGTGTATAAACTTCTGGCATATTATGTTGAAAACCCAACACATTATGAAATTCTAGCATATTAATTATGTTAGAATCTCATATGTAAAAAATTCGAACTCCAATATATTATGCTGGATTTATTTTCGAATTTTAAGGATATTTTTGTTCATATATTATTTTTACATGAAAAAGAGACTAAATTTTTATTACTTTTGAAATTGTGTTTAATTTTTAATTAGCACTTACAAATCAGGCTGTTTCTGATTTTTCCCCATTGTGAGTCTATAGAAGTCTAAGTACAAAAATATAAAGAATAATAAAAAATATCAGCAACAACAACATAATTAAGATGATTAACTATTTACTCTACACATATATACGTACTTAATAAGGGTTTATTACCATATTTAGAAGCAGTTAAACACATTTACGAAAGTGACGACCTATGTTAAAAGTGACGATCATATTTAGTTGCTTATACTTGACACGAAAGTCTAAAAATTATGATAGTCCTATTTATTGGAGTATGATCCAAGTTTTATTGTAAACTTGTTAATTGTTGATTCGGTCAAATAAAAACCTTTGTATGATTTTCCAAAAAAAAAAAGAAGAAATTGTCACTTTGATATTCCATGCGCCGATTTATTGCTATTGACCTTAATTAGAAGACAATAAAAGATGGTAGAAAATATAACACATTGTATAAATAACTCCCAAGACGTTTGTGTCGTATTGGTCTCTTATTATAATCCGTCTTGCGCTACGTGTGTTTCTCGTCTCAATCAATATCAAAATTTTATATTATAATAAAATTTATATTTGAGTAAAATTTAAAAAGTGCAATAAAGTTCTTGAAATGATTAATTGTTTATTTTATTTAGTTATACAATAATGGAAGAAACTCTCTCTCCCATAAAAATACTTAATGAACTCAATCAATATGTAAGTTAAAATTGATTCTAATTTATAATTCAATTACTTAAGTTTCACAAGTTTTTTCTTTTTTAAGTTTCAGTAAAAACAGATAATTTGGAAGACTAAGTTTTTAAAGTAAAGCTCTTTTAAGAACTTTGATTCCGCAAAAGATTTAATATATGAATCAAGAACTACATTATATATACCTCTCTAATATTTCTTCGGCAATAACTTTGAATTGTGCATGAACTCAAAGCAGCAAAATTATTAACCATATAGCTATTTGAATAAGCAAATGATTCTTTTCACATTCCATTACAACCCAGAGTACCTATAGAATTCACATTTTATTATTCTATTAGATTTGATTGATGAGGTTTTTACCAACAAAATTGCATGTATTTTTTCAGTCCAAGTAAAGAAAGAAATCATATAACGCAAATCGAAGGGCGGTGGGCGTGTACCTTGCATTAATGAGAACTAGTATTAGTACCCGCACTATATTACATCTAAGTTTTAATGATGACAATAGTGCAAATCTAATCGTATCTATTTGATTACAGGAAATCAGGAAGTAGCACTACTTCAAGAGAAGTCCTTCTGGTAAGGACATCAGAAAGGAAACGAGATCAAAGGCAACATGAACAATGCCAAATTAAAGGAAGTCAAAGCCATCAAAAAGGAAACAAAATCTGTCCAGACGCTTCAGTCTCACAAACTTTGCTTAACAGCTAGTGAAGAAAAGATCATGGGATCAAACACAGTCGTTGGAGCGCTATTTCAAGAAGGAACCTCTCACGTACGATCTCCATATTTCAACGGGCAATACTTTTCTTACTGGAAAGTACGTATGAAAACATACACTATATCATATGATATTAAAGTTTGGCGCGTGATCAAAAAGGAAAATCTTCCAACTCCACCAAAGAAAGATGAAAATGGTCAAGTCATAGTATCAACTGATCCACTTGACTTAGATGACTACACTGATGAACAATCAGTCGTCATACCAGTGAATGCCAAAGCAAAAAATCTACTGTATAATGCTATCAATGGAGAAGAATATGAAAAGATATCAAGCTGTGAAACTGCTAAGGAAATGTGGGATAAATTAGAGGTCAGGTATGAAGGAATCAACAAAATAAAAGAAACAAGGATCAATCTTCTAGTTCGGGACTATGAATTATTTCAAATAAAGGATGGTGAATCAGTAGAGGAAATGTTCTCCAGGTTTAGCAAAATCCTTGGAGATTTAAAGTCATTTGGTAGACCAATAAAAAGCGAAAAACAAGTCAGAAAAATTCTAAGAAGTCTTCCCACGATTTGGCAACTCAAAGTTATTGCTCTGGATTGTCAGGATCTTGACAAAATATCCTATGATGAACTTAGAGGTGATCTAATTGCCTTTGAGAAAACTCACTTGGACAAGCAAATTTAACAAGAAAAGAAGAAAACAGTTGCATTCAAAGCAACTGTGGCTGAACCAGAAAATGAAGAGGAAGAGGAAGGAGGAGAACATGATGAAAACATAGCC